GAAGATATATACCTAGCAAACCTGATAAACCATGTTCCACTTAGTCAATGGCACCAAATTGCACAAGATTCGAATTATAAAATGCAAAAGCTCCCTACCGTGGGAGGGGGGAAACGCCCCCTTATAATATAAGTTATATAATACACAGCCACGCCCCCCAATCTCGGTCGCTTCCGCTCCCCTCGCATCTCAAACTCTCCGCCTAAGCTATCACCCAATTTGCACCCTGATGTGTTAACGTAAATAATGCTCGATTTGACCAGGAAAGTTGCCCTCTCCCTAGCTCTAGTAACTATATAGCCTGCGTACAGTTGCCGAGCCTGCTGGGGGGCAGGTGGGTTGCAGGCTGCAGCGCCTGCGGCAACTGTACGACGGGCTATAGGTTACTCAGAGCAGGGTTCTCCCTACGTTGCGGGCAAGACAGGGCGGCGCAGGCCCGTTGTTGGAAAAAACTCTCACCTCGTTTCAATCGTTGGCGTCCCCGTTTAAATTACCTCCGCCCCATATTAAATGTCGCACCACATATAAAAGTTTGACAGCGCGGGAATCCGATCGTCAGAATTGGCGTTCGACCAGACATCCTGACGCGTGTATTTTTACGCGTACCACGCATGCACTGGCAGACGCACACACAAGTATCATAAAACATTCTTCAAACCTGTCCCAAAGCCAATCACTAACATCACCCACCCGACTCGGCTATTTTTTATAAAATAAAATATAATCAAGAAACCCCAATACGTCTATGGTGTGGTGGCGAATTTAAGGACATTAATTAGTGGTCACGGTAAAATAAACACGCCCCCCCCATCGCCCCAAACCACCCTAGTTTCGCCCTCCCTTGCCCCCCCATCCCCTCCCCCTGTTTCAATTTCATCCTGGTGAGAACCCTGTAGAGCTACCCTCTCCCCGTCCCACTCCCAGAGTTACTCGCAGCCAGGCCTCGATTTAAGCGACGAGAGGTGCAAGGCAATTTTTGGGGGGCATGTGAGAAATTGCCTTGAATTTTCTCTAAAATAGATGGGCACCGAGGCAATTTTAAAAGGCATCAAGGCAACTCTCACAATTTGAGAAGGGCGCCAAGGCACTTTTGTAAAATAAAGGAAAACTCATAACAAATTAATACATCAACATCGTCTTGCTTCTAATGTAAAAAATAGTAGGCCCTGTTTAACATAATTTCAAGAGTACATAATAGATACCTATTATGTACATACCTATTATGTACTCTTGATAATTTTCAATGCTATTTGCATAGATCTAGATGTTAAAATAATGTTTTGTCAGCAAATCAGCAAATCTTTTTCTTTGGAAATAAAATCATAGGCTGCTAGCCTGCTGCTATGTAAATAAAACACAGTGATAACATTGGTTATCGAATTTTAGCTTTATATACTCGCGCGCGGGCCGAGTCCACGTGCAGCATTTAAATATTCGTGTTCTACCACGGGCATACACAGGCGCACGATTTATCGATCGTCTACTGGCAGCGGTTGGCAGCAAGCTACGTTATTGTTTTTGCCGAAGGGTAGACTGGTATCCAGCCTCACGCTCTGCTAGACAATGTACACTCACTGCGACAAACAGTGCGGCCGCGAACCAGTCTAGCCAGAGGCACCGACGGCAATTACAGAAAAGGGCAAGGCAGGTCACTGCCGTCGGTCGGGTTGGATTTTCAGGGGCAGTACGGCGATTGATAGGGGCACCGATGGCAATTGCCGTCGGTGCCGTCGGTTAATTCGAGCCCTGCTCGCAGCTATAGGGCCTGCATACCTCCCAAAGTTATACTCGGTCGGGTTTTTAACACATTCAATGTCATTCTAACTCTAAAACTGTTACGTTAAAAAATGTTAAAATATTTACATAAACAGGCAAGACGGTTGCCATTTTAAATACGAAGTTTTATTTCCTATCGTAGTTTATTTCAAAAGTTACATCAGTCGAAAGTTGCTACCACGCCCGCTAGATCGCCCGCGCCATATTGTCTATATTTGACCAGCCAGTGTTGCAATCGACTACGTACTGCAACAGAAACAGAAACAGTCAAGGTAGCAACTTTCGGCTGATGTAACTTTTGAAATAAACTACGATAGGAAATAAAACTTCGTATTCAAAATGACAATCGTCTTGCTTGTTTATGTAAATATTTTAAGAATTTTTAACGCAACAGTTTTAGAGTTAGAATGTGTTAAAAACCCGACCGAGTATAACTTTGGGAGGTATGCAGGCCCTAGCTGCGAGTCCCAGACTCGGCCAGTTGTGGCGCAAATAAATATCGCTGTGGCTATATGCCCGGCAGCCGGTCACGGTCTTCGATTTCCTAAATGCCCGGCAGTTCCTAACCCTAACCCTAACTCTAACCCTAACCCTTGTTTACTTGAGATAACGCTGAAAATTAAAAACTGCCGGGCATTTAGGAAATCGAAGACCGTTCCCGGCAGCGTGATTTTTATTCCCACTCAGATAGTGGCATTAATTTGCATAAGCGGCGCTGATTGGCTGTTGCCATGGCGCTAAAAAAAATATAATAAAAAAATTATAAATATAAAGCAAGAAATATAGCTGACTATCCAGCTTTATGTGTAAGTGTTCTGTCGATTTTCATGAATGAGACACGAGAGCATTAGCACATACTGTATATGTATGATCTGCTGACTGTGTATGACTGTGATCATGGGCCTCATTAAATCGTTCACAACTATACCGTGCGCGCGAACGCAGGAATCAGCCGCCGCTTACTTGCAATTATTGCCCTATTGAGTGGAGGAAAATATGCGGGGCCGGCGTTTATGCTGGCGCCGGGCATATAGCCACTCTGAATAAATATCTTCCCTTCTCGTTTCCTACCACAGCCTGCGGCAACTGTACGCGGGCTAGTGTACTGTACTAGAGCTAGTATATATATAGTAGTGCATATATCCTACATCATATACTCTATGTGTATCATATATATGGTTTTGCGGGTTTTCTGGTTAAATAATATACTGACTGTTACTGTAAGTGTATATTTTCTACAGAGAAAGCCATGCAAGCAGCACGTAGAATTCTAAAGTATGCTACTGGAACAGGGATTGTGTCAAGTGCCATATATTTCGCATACAAGAATGACTGGACACTGTCAAATGTCGGAATGGTCAGGTTTGGACGAACAGCAGTATGTGTATGTAAATTTTTGGATGTGTATTTAACTACACGAAGATTATTTGGGCTGTCTACATGCACTGCCTTCAAGTTAAAGTTCAACGAGAGATTAGGCCCTATCCCATTGGCTGATTTCAGTCCTGCATTTATTAAAAAAAAGCTTGTTTACTGCTTGCAGATTGGTCCCCTTGCAAAGTTACCTAGGTGTACATGCATTTCTATACCGGTAACCAGGGGCGTAAATCCGTACCGAGGAGTGGGGGGGGATGATCGGCGATAGCCGGGGGCGAAATTAACCTTGGCTGCCGCAGGCAGGCCCGCGTGCCGTAGGCATGGCAGTGCTAGGGGGGTCTGGGGGCATGCCCCCCCAGAAAATTTTGAAATATTTGAGCCATTTTCCTGCAATCTGAGGCATACTGTGGGCCATATTCTCATGTCTGATGACACTATCTCCACCCTAGACTCAACCCTACAAGTTAGGATTCAAAACACTTTTCATGACTTTTCAGAGAGCATACATAGTTAGGTTTATACTATAGTAATAATACATGTATTAAAACACAGGTAAGAATTGCAATTTCTCACAATTTCACGTATTTTTGTATGTTTGCAACCATACTTTTTGGCTATCCTTTTTTTTCTCTTTTTTTTTTGAATCTCAGGGGGGATATTTGTACAGGCCATCCCCCCCCCTCCTTCAAGAGCGGGGGAGATGCATCCCTCCCCATCCTTCCGGGATTTACACCCCTGCCGGTAACACATCTGATAATGTTGGTTAACCATTATTGTTGGTTGTATTATATAGCATATTAATTGTTACTATTAATATTGCTATAGTTTAGCTCATGCTCTATGTCTTATCGTGAACAATTATGGTGAGCGAAAAACATTTGAGATGTTACAGTTAGAGGCAATGTAACAGACCTGCATGGCAATGCCATGGTACATAATTTTTTTTACTTTATAGGCTACTTTAAACTATTAGTTATTTTTTACTTTTATTAGGCTGTATACGGATATTTATATTGTATTTACAAATTATTGCATTAGTGCAAAATATAAAACAGATTAGAATTTCAGAGAGAAATTTGTACATGTGAATCTCATTTTGACAGGCAGGATTTGTTGTTCTTGATTATAAGAAATCGCTTGCTGGAATTGATTCATCATCGAATCTGTATTCACGTATAAAATCTGAGGTAAGATACTATTTCTATACAGCTATCTACACTACAACTAATGTGCATTAAGTTTAATTCTCTAATTAACCTCACAGTTCTTCCCTCTTAAGTAGTGTTTAACACTTAACAGCCAATAGGTGATGACTATTTCAGAGAGTCTTCTGTGTATTCTCATTAGTTCATTCATGCCCCAGCTACCATCTTGGTTGAGATGATATGGTAATATATCACAGATTTTCCTGGATGTAAATGTGGTGTAATATTTAAAAAAAACCATGGTTATTCTATAATGCACGAGTGGAAAACAGCTGAGTAACCTTGAAATGTGTACATAGACTGTTGGGCTGCTTTAATCTTTTATAGTGTGAGCATATGTTTCATGTGACATCATAAACCCAGGAGGTGATCATGTATCAGTGTCTTGATATACTGTATTACTAAAATTGTAATCTATTTAGGGCTGGATCACAGGATTTTGATGATGTTCTGCCGCGGATCGGCAGCTGGGGACGCTACCAAAAGTTGTTATTCTGGCTAGTGTGTATCCCTGCATGCATTCCGTGTGCATTCCAGGGATATGTCACCATTTTCCTCCTTGCCGTGCCGGACCACTGGTGCCACGTGGAAGAACTGAAGGAGTATGCTGATGATGACAAAAAGTCCTTGAGCATACCCATTGAGTACAAGCAAGGAGTGGAAAGTTATGCTCAGTGTGTTATGTACGATGCAAACTACAGCGAACTTGTAGCACAAAATGGCAGTTGGCAACCTGATATGTCGTGGCCAATTATTGATTGCAACGATGCATGGGACTTTGACCAGACTCTGTACGACTCCACAACCAGTACCGCCTGGGATATTGTTTGTGATCGCGCTTGGATAACGCCCCTGGTCTTCTCAATCATCTCTCTCGGGAACTTGTGTGGAAATTACATCTTTGGATTCCTACAGGACAGACTCGGACGAAAACTTTCATTCTTCATATGCCTCACACTGCAGCTTGTTGCTGCTGTTGCCTCGGCTTTCGCACCGGAACCAATCAGCTTTACTTTCTTCCGCTTCCTGGTCGGCCTCACGATCCCTGCAATATTCACTATTCCATTCGTGATAGGTATCGAGTTGGTTGGGCCAGAGAAGCGAAGCTTCACCACACTGATGCAGTGCATGGCGTATTCAGTCGGCTTGTGTCTACTACCCGGAGTTGCATACCTAGTGCGTGAATGGAGACATCTCGCTCTCGCTACTTCCCTGCCGTTTGCAATTTTTTATGTGTACTGGTTCTTTATGCCTGAGTCGGCCCGGTGGTTGATGGCAAATAATAAAGTAGCTGAGGCCGAGAGATTAGTGCAAAAAATTGCCAAAGTTAATGGTAAAGAAATACCGGTAAACATACTTTCGGAGAACTTAAACCCTAAAGAAGACACAGCAGGCATAGATGATGGAAATGAGGAAGCGCCACAAACGGCCAGAAAATACAACTTCAGGGACTTGTTCAGGACTAAGAATCTACGAAACAAGACCTTACTAATTTCGTTCATTTGGTTCGCAAACTCTACAGTGTACGTGGGTCTAAACCTGTACATTCCATTACTCGGAAGCTCGGATTATCTGAACATGCTTCTGTCAGCCCTGGCAGAGATGCTAGGATACCCGTTTCTGTGGCTCGTCCTAGATCGCTGGGGACGTCGCGGCCCGCTCTGCCTGGCCATGGTCGTTTCTGGCGTGGCCTGTATCACGACAGTGCTTGTGCCGCTGGACGACGACCATCTATGGATAACTATAATGTTGACAGTCATCGGAAAGTTCGGCATATCTGCGTCGTTTGTTGACATATACCTAATCGCGGGAGAAGTGTACCCGACAGTGGTGCGTGGTCTGGGCACCGGTTTTAGTCAATTCGTTGCAGCGCTGGGCACGATAGCAGTGCCTTATGTCGTCTACATAGGTAAAGACTATCAGACTTTGCCTGCGTTCATTATGGGGGCTCTTGCGCTCACGGCTGGTGTGCTCGGGCTAGGACTGCCTGAGACCTTGAACCTGCCACTTCCAGCAACGATCGAAGAGGCTGAAAATCGCAAGGCCGAGTTGCCCTTTGTGGGTTGTCTGTCGAAGACTGTCCACATCAACAGAGCTGGAAGTTCGCCTCCAATAGAGGAAAATTACGATGTCATTGGAAGTTTTAATGTCCTTACGAGCAGTGCGAGAACTGATATAACTGTTTTGTGATATTTTGTCTTGTAAAAACGAGCAGTTTCATTTATGATAACATAGTCAGATGTAGCTAGAGGAACAGTAAAAACGGTTAATCTGTATTTCTGTCTGTCAACAATACGACCACAAATCACAGTGTGGTTGCATGAGGATGTAATATTTGGCATGTAAATGGCAATTCAAATATACACTGGCAGGTCAGAACTTGAGAATCAAAGATTAACAACCACCAGGATCAAATAACAAAATTTTTATATTTTACTTGACTTGGTAATATCTCCTACTTGTGAGTTCATCTATGTTAAAGAAATGCATTTGACTCATTGTACTCAGTGTAATTGCTTTACAATTCTTTAAAAAAATCATCGATCATTCAGTGTGTAACTGTACGTGTGAACCGGTTATCTAATTTAATTATTATTTGCCGTTTATTCATTACAAAATTGTATATATATATATATATATATATATATATGATATGATATCATCAGGACATATATGTTTATAGTCATGATAATTGTAAAAAATAGTAAAATAATATGTTGCACACCCTAGATTTAGTAAAAAATTCTGCATTCATTCTGTGATTTGTCATGATGGCAAATCTTGTGTAGTTGAATAATATTGAGCTTGTGTATGGTAACCCTTCTGTTGGTGTGCACAACATATCATGTGTAAATTAAGTAGTTCAATACTAGACACTGGATAAGTGCAGTTGTTATCAGGTGATCAACTGTAAACTAATGATAAAATACACTTTATATAGGTACACAGGACAGCAGCAGCTGGTTTGCTGCTGCTTGGGTCTTGTAATGAATGCACGAAGGGTCGTTGTTGTATCAGGTACTACATATATATACCCGAGGTAGTTTTAGGTTGTTTAGTATTGTGGTTATATTTTTATATGAGGTATGTTTAGGGTTAGGGTTAGGGTACACTTCTGTAGTACAAGTCTGGTACACTTTGTGTATAGGTACATATATGTAGTACCTGATACGACAACGGGGTCATCTCTATAGACCGAAGGTCCGATAGATCGAAGATTTGGAAGTCTTATGGATAGACGCGATAGACACACACCGCATGTTGCGCAACGGGACGCTCTGCTGATTGCCGTGTGTGTGTGTGTGTGTGTGCCAGTGTTGTATCGAGTCCGCACCACCCGAGTCTGAGTCGGAGTCGCGAGTCCGCACCCCCCGAGTCCCGAGTCCGAGTCCGAGTCCGAGTCCGAGTCCGAGTCCGCCGCCACCGAAGTCTCGAGTCACACCACCGAGTCCGAGTCCGAGACCGAGTCCGAGTCAGTTTTGATAAAAAAAGGGGGGCACAGACCGAAAAGGCCATTCACTTCTATGTATTGGTTTGTTCAAAAATGGGGGGGGGGTGTTTCCTTCCGCCTGGATCTGTCACTTGTTTGCATAAAATAGAAAAGTACCATAAAACTTGCATAAGTGACACTTTTGGGACCAGCATATTTGTGTCGACTTAGGAAAATAACGTGTTGGAAAAATAAATAAAATAAAATAAAAATTGTGCATTATGCATTGTTTAGCGCTACGAACATTTCCTATTGTATGTAGAGTGTAGATAGTGGCAATCATCCGACTTGCTATGAGATTGATCTGGGAAAAAAGCGCAAGCCGTGCATCGTAGACATTCGAGAAGTGTATAGTCAGCCAGAAAACAGCAGAGACACGAGTCATACGAAACGTGTCAAAGTAACGATCCATTTGTGTTTTACGAGAATGACACGGCTTGTTTGAACCAAATGAACGAAGTGCTAGTACTTAGTACCTAGTACTACCTATACGCCTACTACCGTCGAAGTGGTAGAGGTCATATAGTAGTACCTACTAGTACTGCGCACATAGGTTCATGACATAATTTTACACCTTTCTGCCTTAAATGTCACTTGCCTGGCAGCCGCAGTAGACGATGATTAACGCGCGCGCCTGTGTACATTATTATGCCCCGTGGTGAATACGAAATGATGCGCGTGACATCGGCCCACGCGCGATTTAAACGCGACAAACAGCATCTACGAACGTACTATGTATGTAGTGCCTCGAGCCGGTCTCCGACCCGAGTCCTCGAGTCCCGGAGGGCTCGAGTCGCGAGTCGCGAGTCGCGAGTCATTGCACTCCGAGACCGACCGAGACGCGAGACCAAGGAAAACGGTCTCGAGACCAACGGTCTCGAGACTACAACACTGTGTTGTGCGGTGCGTGCGTGCGTGTCTGTGTGTGTGAGAGAGAGAGAGAGAGAGAGAGAGAGAGAGAGAGAGAGAGAGAATTATCCCGTGCGGCAATCATATGCGTGTACGCGGGTCGCGAGATCACTGTGTGAGTGGATGTCCGGATGCGTAGCATGGAGGCTAGGCGACCGGTTCCGGACGCGTAGCCACTGCGCATTCGAAAATGCATCTTTACACCTTGAACACGTAACCTTCGGTCTATCGGACCTTCGGTCTATAGGGCTGTAACCACGACAACGACCCCTTTAGCTCTTGTAATAGCTCTTGTAATAGCTCAACAATACACTTGTTAACGTTACGACACTCTTGGAGCTGTTTTTGGAATTAATAATTAACATATTTCGTCTGTCCACAGAATTCCAGCCTCGTTAGTGTTTTTTTTTCTGTGGGTTAAAATTTTGAACGTGGTTTTTTAATTGTTGGTGACTCCTCCACTGTTCCCTTCCTCCCCATTACCTTTTCCCAGATTCTCCAACCATCCACCTCCTACAATAAATCTCCAGACTCCACATCAGTCATAGAACCGGGAGCCCAGGGGGTCAGCCTAGCTGGAAAGGAAACCAATTTTCATGCATATAGGCAATGATTCGTGTACATACCCATGTAAGGAATGTAAGTCTGGCAGGCAGCCGCTGGTGGTGTGTGGTCAGGGGGGTCATTTGAAAGGCACCCCAAAATTGAGCTAGATTAGCTGGAAAGGAAACCCCATGAAACCTATTGGAAAAATGTTCGGCATGGTCCCGCAGGTGTCAGGAATGGACACTGCCAGAAATTTTTTAGTGGTGGTGCGCATGCGCCAGAGCTAAAAACCGATACCCAAAATTGAGGCTAGATTAGCTGAAAGGAAACCTTCTGCACGCATTGGAAAATGTTCAGCATAGTCCCAGGTATCGTGAATGGCCACTGCCAGAATAATTCAGTGGTGGGTGTATCCGCCAGACGCCCCCAACTGCCCCCACCCCCTAAAATTGAGCTAGATTAGCTGGAGAGGAAACCCCATGAAACCTATTGGAAAATGTTTGGCATGGTCCGCAGTATCAGGAATGGACACTGCCAGAATTTTTTAGTGGTGGGGCGCATGCGGCCAGAGCTAAAAAACCGTTACCTTAAAATTGAGCTAGATAGTCTGGAAAGGAACCTCTGGCACCCATTAGAAATGTCGCGCATAGCCTCAGGTATTGTGAATGGCCACTGCCCAGAAATAATTCAGTGGTGGGTGTATCCGCCAGACGCCCTCACTGCCACCGCCCAAAAATTGAGCTAGATTAGGCTGGAAAGGAACCTTTTGAAACCACTGGAAAATGTTCGCTTAGTCGCAGGTATGCGTGAATGGCCACTGCCAGAATAATTCAGTGGTTGGTTGGTTGCCTCACGCAGAAACGCCCCTAACTGCCCCCTCCCGGGCCTTTATTCTTTAGATAGATTAGCTCAGAAGTAGATAATTTAGTCTATTATCTACTTCTGATTAGCTGGATAGGAAACCACTGATCCATCGGTCAGCTTTGCTTCTCTACCTTTTCTTTTCATGTTGTTAATTTGCAGAATAGAATCTTTCAAACAATCTCGAAATGCACAACACATTGATTTTGATGAACAACATTATTCCCTTATATAAAGCACTATTTCTTCTCACCACTTTCATTTCTCATATACAGTGTATATTACTATATATAGTGGTTATATATACAGTATAGTCCACTGCAGCGACCCCACTTCAGTGGGACTAATAATGCAAAGGAAGAAAAAGAAGAAGTGTCTTCAAAATCATGCGGACAAGAAAAATTACCTGAATAGTTTCTCTCATAAAGCCATACGGCAAATAAATAAAAATAAAAATATTACTCACAAGGTCATCATCACAAGGTATTGACACAAAGGTATTTTATTTATATAAAATGAAACATCATATGGCATTCATTACAATTCCAAATCACATTATTGCCTCCCAATTATGCAATCCAGTAATTAAACATTTTTTATTATTCATTTACATTCAGTACTCAAGTAATCAAAATCCATTTTAATAATCAACTATCAAATTTAGTTCAAACCATCATGTTTTATGTCATTTATCAATATTGATTTCTGAATTCTGACTTACCGCCTTGCAGACCCCCAGAAAAAGTGAAAGTACAAGTTGTCTAATTAAAAGTTCTCAACCATGCCCAATATTTAGAGCTGTATATAGACCAAACTTTGGATCGTAGCATTCTATAAAATTGTTGTTTCCGTACAAGAATTCCCCGTCTTCCACCTCCACATCAGAGTCTTCATCACTCCATGCTTCACCAATCTGAAATCGCTCAGTACTTTCCAACTCGGAATATAGTTCTGTCACCTTCAACGTCCATGTCCTCTGGTTGTTATTGGATTTTAAATAAGCTCTCTGGTACGGCCGCGGACTTCGAACCATGTTGGCTCAAATAGGTTGTCCTTCAGAGACACAACATAATTCGGTTGGTGATAAACCGTTCCCAGGAGATGCTGTCCAGGCACGTGTCCACGCAACGCGCGTAACATAATGTGTTCCTCGTACCTTCATCATCTAGGGTTCTAACGAGAATGTGGGAGCAAACCACAGTCAACCCGCTTGACGTTTGCCATGTAATTGTTGTGTGTGTGTGTGTGTGTGTGTG